TGATTATCGCTTCCAGATCCTTCAGTCTCAGATTTTCCTTTAGTCTAAATCTCTGTATTTAGATGCCAAAAATACCATGTAAATACCATTTATTCTTGGACCTGTACTATAGTAGAAGACAGTTTACTTTCAGTATCAACTTCATCTCAGGTCAAAGTGTCTGAATAATTTTTCGTCCCAAATTTGTATCAGTTTTACTGGTAGTCCACTGTATGAAGAATATTTGGGTATAATATGTTACAGTTTACTTGATTTTGCTATCCTCACTTACATAAATGAACTATAGTGTCCTGCACCTGCTAGTAAAAAAAAAGTAAAAAATTATATCTGGTGTCTAAATCATTTTTTGTTTGACTGTACTTAAGTAAAACATTATATATTCTAAATATACTTGGCTTATACTGACACATATAAAGAAAAGTATATTTGGCCAATATTTGTACTTAATACTCGCGATATACTATTTATTTGGTATTCAAAATTTGTGTTACACTCACAAGTATACAGAAAAGTGTATTTGGCCTATACTTATACTAAATCTTTTGAGATGTACTTTTAATTATTATGTGTTCTAAGTATACTTGGATTATACTGACAAGTTTATAGAAAAGTAAGTGTATTTGACCTAGACTTGTACTAAATCTTTTGATTGAGATATGTATTATTAAGTATTCTAAGTATTTGGCCTATTGTACTGAATCTTTTGATCAAGGTATACTAGCATTACTCTAAGTATACTTGGTTAATATACTGACAAGTATAAAGAAAAGTCTTAGTATAATTGACCTGTACTTGTACTGAATCTTTTGATCAAGGTATACTAGCATTACTCTAAGTATACTTGGTTAATATACTGACAAGTATAAAGAAAAGTCTTAGTATAATTGACCTGTACTTGTACTGAATCTTTTGATCAAGGTATACTAGCATTACTCTAAGTATACTTGGTTAATATACTGACAAGTATAAAGAAAAGTCTTAGTATATTTGACCTGTACTTGTACTGAATCTTTTGATCAAGGTATACTAGCATTACTCTAAGTATACTTGGTTAATACTGACAAGTACAAAGAAAAGTTTGAGTAAATTTGGCCTATACTTGTACTTAATCTTTTGATTGAGATATACTTAAGAAAAATATTAAGTAGAATGCTTGGTCTTTATACTGACAACAAGTATACAGAAAAGTCTAAGTATAAGCCTATTTGGTCTACTTGTACTCTTTTGATTGAGATGCACTTAATGTAATGTAATTGTGTTTACTCTTTTAATAGAGTTGCCTATTAAATACTTTACCCAAATATTGTCTTCTTTGAGGTAGTACTCCAGCATATGTTTTACATGCATTCTTATGAACTTACATCTTCAAGTTTATAGTGACGAGTTTGCTTTAGTCAGTTCACTTGAATTATAGAAACCATCACTGTACCGCTTTGCTTTTTTGTTTGTGTCATTTATAAACTCGCTCTGAAGTCATGTGATCTAGTAACCTTCAGACGAACTCTTCAGATACACTTGCATTGTGTCACAAGATCAGGAAAACTCACATGACCTCAAAATACACCTACGAGTAAAAGCTTAACTACGCCTCGTAGATATTGACTAAGTGTACGCAAAATCTGTCTCTTTAGCTCACAGCTCCTGCAGCCTTGTTTTGCTCACTGATTTTCTCTCTGTGTCACACAGACGCAACGCAGACGTTAAGATAAGGCTATTTTGAGTGAACATATTTTGAGTGAAAATATTGCTATGGCTGGCAGACAACACAAAGCTTTTAGCAGTGCTAGTATCTGACAAGCTGTTATTTGTTGTGCCTCAATTAAATGAGACAATACTGTGATTTATGTTGAGTGGTTTGGAAAATGTTTTATGATAATGCTGTCATTGTTAACTAACATAATTGTATTAATTGAAGCTGAAATAATTATAAATATTATATTAAAAACTTAATCGAATATGAGATAATTTGACTTGGCAACCAAATGAAATAAAATAAGTTTAAGCTGAGATACTAAAATCACTCAAACTACATGTAAAATATGTAATAAAAAAAGTGAGATAGCGAAATAGAAATGAGGTTTATTACTGTATTTGACAAGAATGCATTTAAAAAAGCACATAACCAAATTACTAAAACTTCAACTAAATAAAAAAATTTAATTATTAAAATAAACTAATTTAAAATATTAACAAATACTATATAGAATATAAATAATACAAAAATCACACTGACCTATAACTGCAACTATAGTGTGAAAAATAATCACAGAATTCATTATATAAAATTTTGCCATGGCAAATAGAAGAAATACGTTTAAGTTGAGATACTAAAATTACTCAAACTAGAACTAAAATAAAACATAAAGCGATTTGATTTAAAATATTAACAAATACTATATAGTATATAAATATAGTGTGACTGCAACTAGTGTATAAAATAATCAATATTTTTTAATCAATATAGAAGACAATGTTAGCATCCGTTAATTTTAATTGTTGGAGACAACTGGTTAATTTGAAGCTTTTTTGCTTTTTTCATCTTCTGGGTTTAAAATCTATATCGTGTTGACGTCACAATTATGACGTGGCAAAGGACTATAGTACATCGATGACGCGTCAATGTCTATTAAATTATTCATGAGACTGCGTGTTCTTATCCTATGAGAAGACGCTTCGCTTAATTATTCACAACAGCATGTGTTGATTTGCTATGACAGACGCTACAGACTGTGAGACCGCGTTCTCTGTGTCACACAGACGCAACGCAGACGTTAAGATAAGGCTATTTTGAGTGAACATATTTTGAGTGAAAATATTGCTATGGCTGGCAGACAACACAAAGCTTTTAGCAGTGCTAGTATCTGACAAGCTGTTATTTGTTGTGCCTCAATTAAATGAGACAATACTGTGATTTATGTTGAGTGGTTTGGAAAATGTTTTATGATAATGCTGTCATTGTTAACTAACATAATTGTATTAATTGAAGCTGAAATAATTATAAATATTATATTAAAAACTTAATCGAATATGAGATAATTTGACTTGGCAACCAAATGAAATAAAATAAGTTTAAGCTGAGATACTAAAATCACTCAAACTACATGTAAAATATGTAATAAAAAAAGTGAGATAGCGAAATAGAAATGAGGTTTATTACTGTATTTGACAAGAATGCATTTAAAAAAGCACATAACCAAATTACTAAAACTTCAACTAAATAAAAAAATTTAATTATTAAAATAAACTAATTTAAAATATTAACAAATACTATATAGAATATAAATAATACAAAAATCACACTGACCTATAACTGCAACTATAGTGTGAAAAATAATCACAGAATTCATTATATAAAATTTTGCCATGGCAAATAGAAGAAATACGTTTAAGTTGAGATACTAAAATTACTCAAACTAGAACTAAAATAAAACATAAAGCGATTTGATTTAAAATATTAACAAATACTATATAGTATATAAATATAGTGTGACTGCAACTAGTGTATAAAATAATCAATATTTTTTAATCAATATAGAAGACAATGTTAGCATCCGTTAATTTTAATTGTTGGAGACAACTGGTTAATTTGAAGCTTTTTTGCTTTTTTCATCTTCTGGGTTTAAAATCTATATCGTGTTGACGTCACAATTATGACGTGGCAAAGGACTATAGTACATCGATGACGCGTCAATGTCTATTAAATTATTCATGAGACTGCGTGTTCTTATCCTATGAGAAGACGCTTCGCTTAATTATTCACAACAGCATGTGTTGATTTGCTATGACAGACGCTACAGACTGTGAGACCGCGTACATTAACTGAGAGAAACGTTCATGGATCGGAGGAGAGTGGTTGTTTATGCTTTATAATAAGAGTTCGGCACAAACTCGATTCATTCCCTTGAGTGAATGGGAGACAACTGGTTAATTTGAAGCTTTTTTGCTTTTTTCATCTTCTGGGTTTAAAATCTATATCGTGTTGACGTCACAATTATGACGTGGCAAAGGACTATAGTACATCGATGACGCGTCAATGTCTATTAAATTATTCATGAGACTGCGTGTTCTTATCCTATGAGAAGACGCTTCGCTTAATTATTCACAACAGCATTTGTTGATTTGCTATGACAGACGCTACAGACTGTGAGACCGCATACATTAACTGAGAGAAACGTTCATGGATCGGAGGAGAGTGGTTGTTTATGCTTTATAATAAGAGTTCGGCACAAACTCGATTCATTCCCTTGAGTGAATGTAACTGTTTTTACAGCTCTGTGACACAACCTGTCAAAAGGCTTATATAAACGTTGCAGAATAAGCCTTAAACGTTATCAGAGGTGCAACAGCGCGTTCATAGATATGTTTTCGATGAAGAGTGCAAATGACTGTGCATTTATTTGTGTTTTTAACTGTATGGGAGCGAAATGAAACTGTCTGAACGCGAAGCTGTGTGTGTTGTCTGTCTCCTCTCTTCCCCCCTCCCACGCCCACTTTTGCAGCATTTAAAAAAATTGTGACCCTGGAGCACAAAAGCAGTGTTAAGTTGCTGGGGGATATTTGTAGCAATAGCCAAAAATACATTGTATGGGTCAAAATTATAGATTTTTCTTTTATGCCAAAATCATTAGGATATTAAGTAAAGATCATGTCCAATGAAGATGTTTTGTAAATCTCCTACCGTAAATATATCAAAACTTTTTTGATTAGTAATATGCATTGCTAAGAGCTTCATTTGAACAACTTTAAAGGCGATTTTCTCAATATTTAGATTGTTTTGCTCCCTCAGATTCCAGATTTTCAAATAGTTGTATCTCAGCCAAATATTGTCCTATCCTAACAAACCATACAATTAAAAAAAAATGACCCTTATGACTGGTTTTGTGGTCTAGGGTCACAATTGTGGTGAGAACTAACCAGCACTGAAACGGGGTTTCATGACCCTTAAATGGCCAATGTGCCAATGACCATATGCAACATTTACAGTACGTATATACAATAAAGATTGTTAATATCTGCATGTGGCTGCTCTCCTCTGCTTCACAGGCCGATGTGTGATTGGTGTTCTGCCACTGTCCTCCAGCATGGTAGACATGGAGAAGCACTACAGCCCCCCGTCGCCGCTGGACGACTCCGTGCTGGACAATCCTCTGTGCCGGGACTTCATCGGGGGAATGGAAGACCTTCAGGACATCTCTCAGTCCATCGAAGAGGACGCTCTCAGCAGCTTCGAGGTGACCGAGAACCAGTCTTCGGGTCTGGGCTCCGGATCGGAGAGCTCCACTGCATTAGGTACACAAACACTGCCACTCAAATACATGCAGACCTTTAAAGAAAAGACACCTTTCCTCTGCGCATTATGAGAATTAAGAACCTGAGACAACCATACATTGCATAGTTTGCATTTTTCAGTATAAAGCCAAAAACATACTCTACAGACGCAAGCAAATGCAGCTGTGAATGCTTTGCTGACATGTTGTATGCATTGTAATTTTGTTAAGAGTTATGCTTATGAAAAAAAGAAAATATACAAATTGCCAATAGGATAAAAACAGAAAATGTATGCAAGAAATATCCAAAAGAAAGTGTTACATTTTTTTCTTCAATATTCAGAAATGTTTTGTTTTATTATTATATTAAATAATCATTAGACTATATCAATCAAAATGCAATATGTACAATAGTAGTAGTAATAATAATAATAATAGCTGCTATTATTATTAATTTATTATAACAAAATAAAAAATATTGATAATAATAATAATTATTATTATTATTACTATAATAATAATAATAATTTATTATTATTATTATTATTATTACTATTAAAATGATGGCAAAGTGAGCTGTTTTCCTATATTACTATAATATTTACCTTATAACTAATATGCAGAA